CAGAGCCATTCTTTGCTGCCCTCGCATGGAGACTTCGTCCCGTGCGCCTCCCGCGCGGCCCCGGCTGCCGCCTGCCCGGCGGAGCAGCAAGGCCGAGCACAAGCTCCGTCCTCACGCGGCTCCCTTCCCCTGTGACCCCCAAAGCCACAGCCCCCTCCCGGCCTGTGTGCGGCCGTCCCCCCGGCTCCCGGCTCCCTCTGCCCCTCGCTGCACACAAGACAGCCCTTGGCCCCGTGCAGAGGCTCTGGCTGCTGCTCTGCAGCTCCCGTTTCCAGCACTGCCCCACGGTTCCTGCTCTTCTGCTGCCCACRGCAGCCGTGGGGGAGACGTGACCGGCGGGCAGGTGCCTCCTTGGGATGATGCCAGTGCTTGGCGGTGGCCACACGTGTTTGCTCCACGCATTGTCGCCCTGCAGATCGGTGGGGGCCAAACCATCAACGCCAACGTCCTGAACGTGGCCGTGGGGGTTATCCAGGAGTCCCGGCAGCTGCGGCTCCAGCCCTTCAACGAGTATCGCAAGAGGTTTGGCATGAAGCCCTACGCCTCCTTCCAGGAGCTGACAGGTAGGAGGGCACGGCCGCGCTGTCGCTGCTGCCCTCCCATCCGCGCCCCACACGTGTGGGGCGGCCGCTGCGTTGTCCCTTGGTGCAGGGGGACAGAGYGGAGCCCCAGGCTGACCAGGCACACGGGGGGCACGGGGGCTGCCAGGGTCCCATCCCCGGGAGCCAGGCCAGCTCCTGCTGCAGGCTGCTCCGCTAACGTGCTCCGCTCTTCCCTCCGTGCAGGAGAGGAAGAGAAGGCGGCAGAGCTGGAGGAGCTCTACGGAGACATCGATGCCCTCGAGTTTTATGTGGGCTTGCTGCTTGAGAAACCCCATCCCAATTCAATTTTTGGGGAAAGCATGGTGGAGATTGGGGCTCCGTTTTCCCTGAAGGGGCTGCTAGGAAACCCCATCTGCTCCCCCGAGTACTGGAAACCCAGCACGTTTGGCGGAGCAACTGGCTTCGAGATTGTTAAGACAGCGTCGCTGAAGAAACTCGTGTGCCTCAACGTGAAGAAGTGCCCGTACGTGTCTTTCCGCGTGCCAGACACTGCGGAGCCAGGAGCAGCCGCGGCACAGCAGCGTGGTGGATCATCTACTGAGCTCTAGCACCGCCACAGCCCTGCACAGGTAGACGCCACCCTCCCCCAGGCCCCGGGCGGGATATAAGCTCAGCCTGGCCCTGAATGTCCTGTTCGCTCTTGCAGAGAGTGGTGGGGAAGGAGAGGAGACCTGCAAGTTCCCTCTGCCAAACCCAGCGGGACAGAAGGTCGCGCAGCTCCAGGCTTCTCCACAGTGCTGCTGGAGCCCTGGCAGGGGGGGAAGCTGGTTCTAGCTCCAAGAAAAGCTAAAGTGCCTTAAAAATTATAGCTCCCATGAACCGTCCTCCACAGACCACCTTYCCTTGCTAACAGATACCTTGCACTCAGCAGCTTTGGGGCTGTCCAGGGGGCTCCCCACATCCTCCTGCCCCACTCTGCTGCCCTCTGACCGCCACCGCTTTTCAGCGTAGGCCAGGAACAGGCTTTTCAGGCCCCCAAACTGCAGGGGTTTCCCTTGCGCGGGACACGGAGGAGCAGAGGGCGCGTGGAGCGTCCCGAGCTCCCCAGCTCCCCCGAGCTCCCAGCGCCCCGAGCTCCCCGGCACCCTGAGCTCCTGAGTGCCCCGACCTCCCCCGTGTCCCCGAGCTCTGCGGCAGGGCAGGCAGCGCGCGYGGCCCGAGCGCCGGCCGCTGCGCCCAGCGAGGCCCAGGGCAGGGGGCAGAGCTGGCGCCGCAGCGGCTCCGTCCCGCGCCAGCACCGCGGGCTCCCCGCAGCCAGCAGCCCTGCTGCGGTCCCAGGAGCACCAACGCTCACCTCTGGGAAAATGGACACTTCAAACATCTATTTTCAATTCCCCTGATTTCTTCCAACGAGTTAGGAAGCTCTCACTCACCGGAGGCAGGCTGTGCATCCAGGCAGGAGGAAGCAGAAGCTGCTGGAGAACAAGTTGCTGGTGGAAGCCAGCAGCCCCAGGCGAGATACAGCCCAGCACTGTCCACAGTCAAAGTAGGAAAGGGAATGAGCCTCTGCACAGAGCGCTTCGGAGGGGCGATCTGCGAGCCCCATCTCCCATCGCCTGCTCCTCTGCCTCACTGCCGGCCACCAGTTTGTACCTTAACGCTGCAGATGCTGAAAACACAGTGCTTAAGCCCAACGTTGTGTATTTCTATCACATAAAATCTATGCGTACATGAACCTTTCTTCCTGGCGAGGTGTTTTGTAGGGGTGATTCCCTCAAAGAGGGAATGAGCTGGGAAAGGGGATGCTACCCAACACCTGCATTAACGACCTGGCCTACGGAGCAGCTCAACGCTCATCTGCCCCCAAGCCCTGCGGTCACACGTCAGGGCCGGTGTCGCTCACACTCCAAACGCAGCTCACACCTCAGGCAAAGCAGGTAACAGAAAGCAGACAAAAAAGATTTTTAGCACTGATTTAATAGCTTTCAGGAATATTACAGATACTAGGTGAAATTCTGATGTTATGAAGTCCTAATTCAACATTTTGCCAACAAAATACTCGTGGATGCTATGCAGAGCACCATGTCAGAGCTCCTCACAGGCTGCTRGTCTCCCTCTTAAGAGGCAGAAATCACTTTCTGCTCAAGTTAGCACTATCAACTCCATGGAAGGGTATTTTAAAAGCCCAGTATTAAGAACTGTAATTGAAAAAACATTTTCCTCATTTAGGTCTCAGATAATATAAAYGAAAGCGGAACCCTCTCCAGCTGAAAATAATAAAGTAATTTTTAGGATGAAGTCAGAAGCTGTGGTTATTTTAAGTGAGAAAGGAACAAAAATAACAATAGTTGCAGCAATGCTGCTGCCAAGGAGGAGCTTATAAATCAGGGAATGCAAGATGGGATCTTGTATTCTGAACACACTGGCAGCAGGTCAGGTCCAGATTAGCAGAAGTCCTGAATGCTTAAGAGCTTCTTCAAGGATTGGTCTCAATCCTTGTCTTAGCGAGTAGGTAGGTACCACATCCTGATCTCAACTGGTATTCAGCAAACCTGTAAGGAGACTGACTACACACAGGTGATCTGACAGAAAAAGGCTTAGAAAATCTAAGGGATTTGGAGCACAGAGGTGACAATATAATACACAGTTCATTACATTTATTGAATATAATTTTAGTAAAATACATTTGGATTACACAAGAGCTAGACATTTTTAGTGCACACTTTATTAAAGTAATTTAGGAAAACATGAGGAAATCCTTGTATTAACCTTAACAAAGTTTTAACGAGCAAAAGTCAAAGTGCATGGAGGGGAAAAAAACGTTATCAACACAAAGAAAGAAAACTTATAACACAAGAACAACCCACAGTACAGCTAAACCTCCTGGTCCCCTGGTATAACCGGTTCAGTCTATTTCCAGATCACTGTCTTCACTGTAACACGCAGACGGATTATGTATAGAAGTCAGAAGCACCAGGTCTTTCTCTGGAAGCAGACCACACTCCTGCAAAAAAGCCTCCAGGTCTACAGCAAAAAAATCTTCTCCGAGCTGGTCAGTGATTCGCACGAAGTTGCCGATGAGTTCACCTGCCTTGTAGACGAGCAGAGCAGGCAGAGCGTTACTGGTAAAGCGAGCGCTGGCGCCAATGAGCGAGCTCTTCACTCGGCAAAATTTAACTGTTGGGTACTCAGCTGCCAGGCAGATCATACAGCCGTTGAGAGACTCAGTACCAGGGATATCATCTTCATAAATATGGATCATGATCAGTGTGGTCTTATGTTCTTTATCAACCGTGTCCAAAAATGCTTCCCCACTAGTAATTTCAAAAACCTGTTTAAACTGCTGCCCGCTGTATAACTGCTGCCTCATCTCCTCCATACGCTGCTTCCTGTATCGCTGTAAAAATTCCTCATCATCTTCACCATTGTGAATCATATTATATTCTTGCAATGTCATCTAAAAAATGCACACAAAGATACACAATAAGGAGAAAAAGAAAAGACCTACATCACTTTATAGGTCACTTATATAATTATAATTTGAATCATGAGGATTAATGTGGGTCACCCATCTCTAACAACAGCAAAGTACAACCCATGAAGGCTAGAGCACCCTTTTTGATCCAATCGCAAATCACATCCAGTGGGAACAGTGAATCCAGCTTTGGATACCCTATTTTCCACAGGCTGCACTAATACCACAAGTACTCTCACTTTAATCCAGGTTAATGGTGGCTTTCACTAAGCTACCAGCACTGATTCAATACTGTGCCTGATGAAAGCCCTCGCTGTCAAATAGCTAGCTTGTTTTTGCATCATCTTTTTATTTTATTGCTCTTCAACTAACATTTTTTGGCAAAACAAACACACAATATTGCCTGAAGAACTGAAGTTAGCAGGGTTTTATGCATTTCCTATCTGTTCACCTACTTCATTAGATATATCTGCATTACTCAAGGTACAGGACAGTGTTGCTAATTTTTGCCACCTGAAAATAAGGTACATTGTGTGCAAATTCAGATTCTGACTACGACTGCCAGAGCTGGTTATATAGGTCAGGTGATTAAAACCATTCACTCCAACACTTTCTGTCTCTGGAGTGTAAAGTAATTCTGAGAGCAAAGCTAAATTCTCAACATGCACTTACTACTCACTGAAATCAGTGAGAAGTGCTGATTCCACTTTTTATGCARTCCTCAGTCTGGAAGGTTTGCTGTGTCACTATTTCACTTCCAGAAATTTGACTTATTTGATAGAGAGATAAAAGATAACTGTGAAAAGGATTTGCACTTTTTCAATATATTGGCTAAATCGTGTATCTCTTAACATAGATAAACATGGTGTCCCTAAAATATTTCTTAAATGTGAATCTTGACAACATCTGGAAAACAACACACCTCTATTTTGTGCTCCCATTCACTAGTAAGAAATAATACCTACCTCCTGAGAGATACAAGGATTTCCACTTACTCCCCATAGGCAACTCATGAAACAAAAAGTGTTAAACATTCAAGCAGCCTCTTTGTGCCATGTTACCTTTCCATTGATTTTTTCCTGAAGCTCCTTCTGCTTCTGCTTATCAGCYTCTTCATCCAAGTGAGATCTACATGTCATAGACAACTTCTTTATGAGGCGTTCCATTTCTCTGCGCTGCTCCTGTCGCTGTTCTGTCTCCAATTGTTTAAATCTTCGCCAATCATTGATGACTCCTTTTGGACCTGAAATCAAATACGCAAATACTTAGTACAAAAGAATAACAAAATCAGATCTGCTCTTTAAATATTAATCTGTAAGTCATCAATAAAACAAGGTCTCATCTCAAACTTTTTATATTGTGCAAAATATTGTAACAAAACAAACAAAAAATAGGAGTAACTTGGCATTTATATGTCCTTGAACTACTGTTATCTTTCTTAAGCTTATCTAACTAGGCTACTCTCATAACTGTCCCAAAGGCTATTCTAAAGATTAATATATATGCTCTACAAACAGAACCAATGACAATGAAGAATTCCCCCCTTTGTTAGCAGTGCTTTTCATAACAATTCATGTTCCTCATGTAGAGCCTAAGTGCTCCAGATGTAGAGCTGAAGTCTCCCAGAGAACAGAAACACTATAGACTTTTAAAAATAAGGCTAGACTACAGCCAAGAGAGGATTACCTAGGTCAAATACAGATGAAAATAGGATGCTTATTACAAGAAAAAYGATTATAGAAAACAACATGAGTATTACAGTAAATCATGTATTTTAAAAATCGTTATTTTGACTGACATTACCTGTGTTGACAGCACTGCCATCGCTGCTGAGCTCTACTTCGCCAGCGCTTTCGGGAAGGGTGCTCTCCCCATCTTTGTCTTCTTTCTCGCTGTCTTCATCCTCGCCCTCACTGCTGCTGTAATAATACTGCAGCTTCTCACCAAGCAGTTTATCGTCCAAAGCAGTCATCGTGTTCTGAAAATAAATTAACAAAACAGACAATGTATCTCTTCTTCACATAGGTAACTGGAGATGACAACTGAGATGTCTAATGACAGCCAGTTCTTTATTTCTTAAAAGATTTTTTTTAAGCACAGAACAGTAGTTTACAGCTCATAATCAAACACCACAGGGCAGAGTCAATTTCTTGAGAATTATGCCRTACTTTCCAACGTGTTTAGGTTAAGAAATTTTATGAGTAAAATCTTCCTTTTAGGCTCACTACCAAAACAGTTATCATTGTAAAAGCTGTTTGTTCACTAAAATAACTTTAACATAGATTTTTTTTGCACTGGGAATGGTGTTTCCCAATGCACGCTTGTAAGTCCCACCAGCCTCCCCCCCAGCCCTGCGAGGCTGACTTCACCAGGACGCAGTTTCCAAATTCCTGCGCTATTTGCGTTATTTACAGCACCGTCACTTACAGCCTTCAGAAGCCTCTCGCATCCCGAGGGCGGCGCCGCCAGACGTTTCCCTTGGCCCGCCGGGGCCGCGTCTCCGTGGGCTCCGCGGGCAGGGCCGCTGCCGGGGGCTGCTGCGCGCGGAGAGGCTCCTGCTCCTCCCCGCGGCCGGGTGCGGAGGCTGCTGSACGGCTCGCGGTAACGGCAGCGGCCCGGGCTTAGCGCGACGGTCCCTCAAAGCGCCGCAAGGCGGGGAGTTAAGGGCTGGGGTCCCCCTGCGCGGCCGGGCCCGTCCCGCAGCCCGGCTGGGCCGCTCCGCTGCCCGCTCCGCCGGCGCCTTCCGCGGAGCCGCGCGGGAAGAGGCGGGCGCTCCCGCTCCCCGCCCAGCGCCCTCACG